TTGTGTGTGAATTTTTGTGCAATAAGCATAAATAGTTTCTGACATACAGCGTGACATGCGAAAATCCCCTTTTTTTTTTTTACAAAAAACTCTATATCTCTAAAATAAAATTTTGAATCAAAACCAAAAAGTATACAGCTCTTTAGATTAATATAACTAAGAAGTGTGTAAAATTTTAAGCAATAATCATAAATCGTTTTTGAGATACTGCGCGACATGTGAAAAACCCCTCCCCCTTTTTTTACAAAATACTCAATAACTCAAAAATTAAATTTTGAATCATCACCAAAAAGTATACAGATCTTAAGGTTAATATAACTAAGAAGTGTGTAAAGTTTTAAGCAATAATCATTAACTGTTTTTGAGATACGGCGCGACGTGTGAAAAACCCCTCCCCCTTTTTTAACAAAATTCTCAATATCTCTAAAATGAAATTTTGAATCATCACCAAAAAGTATACAGATCTTAAGATTAATAAACTAAGAAGTGTGTAAAGTTTTAAGCAATAATCATAAATTGTTTTTGAGATATGGCGCGACATGTGAAAAAAAGCACACACCTGTTTTAGTTACTAAGTCCCGTAACTCAAAAAGTTTTAATCTTATTTTCACCAAAAAGTATACAGATCGTCTGACCATCATAAGAAACAACTATGTTAAGTTTCATGAAATTTGGATAAGTCATTCTCAAGTTATGGTGAGACATGTTTACGGCGGACAGACAGACGGACGGATGGACACCAGACATTTGTATACCATAAGACGTCCCGTCAAAATTTGACGGGCGTATAAAAATCATTTCAGATGTCCATCTCCGTAACTCAAGAATTTATAAATATATTGTAATGCAGACCTCGACGAGAACACCTAAACAAAGCGCAAGACAAGACAAATGTCAATTCAAACGATGATTACGTGTTTTATGGAATGATTATGAGCACAGTTTTATTTATTTTATTTTTATTTGATAACACAATTTGAACCGGCGATATCCTTAATTTGAAACGTGGAAATTACGCCGGGAGCCGGCTCTTATTGAAAACCCTGAATATTGTATTGTAACAAAATTTACATTTTTAAATGAAAACTTAACACATATCGTGCATATAACAGAACTGGACTCATAAAAAGCTTGAAAAATTCAACCAAATTTAGAACTGTCTGCATAGAGGGACTAATGTTCCTCTGTATTAGATTGAAACATGGTTACTGATCCGTCAATCTGAAAGAATTATACTGAACCAGGAACAAAGTCTGAGGTCAGTATGTATACTGTAAATTCAAAAAATAATGGTTAAAGTCAGTATGATGCTTCTGTATACAAAGTTTTGTCGATCTAAGTGCTACAGTACAAAATGTATGCACCAAACACAAAACAGACAATGTCTTACTTTCATAGGGGTCAAAGGTCAAATTCAAGACCAGTGTGACCTGACTTGGATAAATGACACATCCCATCCCATGATGTATCAGAATACTAAGTTTGGTCAATTTAAGTTCTATGGTAAAAAAGTTATGAGGACACAAATTATTAGACAAGGTGTCAAAGGTTAGAGTGACCCCACTGGTATATGACACACCCAAAAGCCAAAATGCAACTGCATATCAAGTTTGTTTAACCTACGTTTAACGGTACATAAGATATGAGCAGGACATGAATTGGATATGGTTTTACTATCATAGTGGTGAAAGGTCAAAGTCAAGGTCAGAGTGTCCTGACTTAAGTATGTGACACATCCCCATCCCATGATTCAACTGCATAATAAGTTTGGTTTGTGTTGGGTATAATTATTCTGTGATAGCATTAGGCTTGTTTCCACCCTTGAATTGTTTCAGCATTAAACTAGAGGCTCTCAAGAGCCTGTGTCGCTCACCTGACTCTACTTTGGTTTAAGAAATCATGTAAAGATAGATAAAAATCATAACAGATACCCAAATAATGATTGAGGCCAAATTTTGATTAATATTGGTCCCGTTATTTAATAAAATATCCTGGTGGCCATCTTGAACAGTAAATCGGCAACAAAGTAGCAACACTTGGTCAGCACTTCATAAGGAACATTCATGCCATGTTTGGTTTCATTCCATTCAGTGGTACTCTAAAAGAAGACATTTGTATGTATTTCCCATAGAGTCCTATGTTAAACTAAGCCCCCCCCCCCCCCCCTAGCGGCCATCTTGGATGATGGATTGACTGCAAAGTAACAACACTTGGTCAGCAACTCATAAGGAACATTCATGTCATGTTTGGTTTCATTCCATTCAGTGATTCTCTAAAAGAAGACATTTGTATGTATTTCCCATAGGTCCTTTGTTAAACTAAGTCCCCTGCTGTCGGCCATCTTGGATAATGGACCGACTGCAAAGTAACAACACTTGGTCAGCACCTCATAAGGAACATTCATGCCATGTTTGGTTTCATTCCATTCAGTGGTTCTCTAAAAGAAGACATTTGTATGTATTTCCCATAGGTCCTATGTTAAACTAAGTCCCCCACTGACGGCCATCTTGGATGATGGATCGGCTACAAAGTAACAACACTTGGTCAGAACCTCATAAGGAACATTCATGCCATGTTTGGTTTCATTCCATTCAGTGGTTCTCTAAAAGAAGACATTTGTATGTATTTCCCATAGGGTCCTATGTTAAACTACATTGTAAGTCCCCCGCTGGCGGCCATCTTGGATGATGGACCGACTGCAAAGTAACAACACTTGGTCAGCATCTCATAAGGAACATTCATGCCATGTTTGGTTCCATTCCATTCAGTAGTTCTCTAAAAGAAGACACTTTTATGTATTTCCCATAGGGTCCTATGTTAAACTAAGTCCCCCCGCTGGCGGCCATCTTGGATGATGGATCGGCTACAAAGTAACAACACTTGGTGAGCACCTCATAAGGAACATTCATGCCATGTTTGGTTTCATTCCATTCAGTGGTTCTCTAAAAGAAGTCATTTGTATGCATTTCCCATAGGGTCCTATGTTAAACTAAGTCCCCCGCTGGCGGCCATCTTGGATGATGGATTGGCTACAAAGTAACAACACTTGGTCAGCACCTCATAAGGAACATTCATGCCATGTTTGGTTTCATTCCATTCAGTGGTTCTCTAGAAGAAGTTCAAAATGTAAAAAGTTAACGCCGACGACGGACGACGGACGCCAAGTGATGAGAAAAGCTCACTTGGCCCTTTGGGCCAGGTGAGCTAAAAAGTGACTACATACACAACAAACCGTTATTGGCATTATAAAGTCTGCAATGATATATTGTCTGCACCTCCTTTTTGCCACCAGGAATTCAGGAAAAAACCTTTTTTTCTTTTGTTAAAAAAGTCTTTAGAAACTATGGTAATTTCAAAGGTTGTGTGATTGGTTGCGGATTTGTCATGGAATAAGCCATTTTCCATATCAATTAGAAGTCGAAAATGCTTGTAAATGGTACTAGAACACTTCACGAGTGTTAAAATAAGGAAAAATCACAAGAAAAACACTTATTAAAGTTGTTTTGATATTAACCGGATATCATAATAGAACATGTAAATCACAAACAGAGTGTGCGGAAAATATCGCTAAAGAATACGACCTTGAAACTAAAACCGTTCCATCTTTTAGTGAAATACTGTCAGACATATTCATCACATAAATGTTTGAAGGACCTTTAGCTAAAATTAAATACATGCAGCAGTGTGAAACACCAAAACAGAATGACTAAACGATTACGTTTTGTATTTTAAACATTATTATGTTTAAACTGGTTCCCGGCTGACCTCTTTACTTTTTTCGAAACATTGTTAACTAGTAGATTCTAGTTTCACCTATGCAGTGCTATGAAAAGAAATGAGAAATTTGTAAAGAAGCATTTGATTTTGATACATATCAGTTAATATTGAATTTTTACATAATAAACTGTTAACACAGAGATATGTTTCGCCTTTTTGTTATTTTGATAATAAATTGCAAATGTTGAAATTAAAATAGCAATACTTATTTATGCAAAATAGTCACAAAGTCAATGAACCATGACTGAGTGAAGGTACAGAGCTAAACAATCTCCACGGAAATGAGATGTGCCAATGCTAATACAACTGCATATCAATTATCATTGAACTACCACTAGTGCTTCCTCATTAACAGACCTAATCACAAACTAATACATGAAAAGTAAGTTAAAGTTTCAAAGTCAATAGACTATAAATGAGGGGACAGGATCAAATGATCTCCATGGAAATGAGATTGATTGATTGATTGAATGTTGGTTGCTTAATGTCCAGTGGCAATTATTTCATGCATGTTCAGGACGATGGAAATGAGATGTGCCAATGCTAATACAACTGCATACCAAATATCATTGTCCTACCACTAGTGGTTCCCAAATAAACTGACCTAATCACAAACTAATACATGTAAACTAATTAAAAGTTTCAAAGTCAATAGACCATGACTGAAGGACTGGGGCCAAATAATTTCCATGGAAATGAGGTGTGCCGATTCTAACACAACTGCTTACCAAATATCATTGACCTACCACTAGTTGTTCCCCATAAACTTACCAAATCAGAAACTAATACATTGTTTATGCCAGAGATGCCAAAGACACCAGAAACAGCATATTTATGTCTCATTTTTTTACTCTGTAAAGGGGAGACAAAAATTGCATATTAATATGGATTAGGTTTTTAAAAGAATTAAGGCACCCTCTTCAGTTTCAATAACAAACATGGCGGACATCAACAAACATCACAGAATCAAGTTTTTCTGGTATTTCTTGCTTATAGTACTCTATAATCCACACCCGTCTGTTAATCTTAACTTTGGAGTAAAAAACTGTAGATATTACACGACTGAATTCGGTAAGTGTATATAGAATTGCAAGACAAGAAATGTCATTACATTGCTACAATCTTTACGAAAAAAAAGACTTGCAAAGATTTCCTTAGCTTTTGCAATGCAAGTACAAAGTAATATTTGTATACGTCTATCAACAACCATATCAATATCTAACCTATTTCATGAGGTAGTTCATGACAGAATACAGCGATAGATGTACTCAATCCTCCTGTTAAACTATCTGCAAAAGCTGCACCTATAGCTAAACCATCAGAAAAGTTGTGGATTCCATCACCAATAATGACCATCCAAGCAATAGCAGCCACTGTCTTGGGTACTTTGTGACAGTGACTATGACCGTGACCACCATGCGAATGACTTAATACTAGCGTTGGCTCTTCCTCTTCTGTAGACTTCTTGCAGTTGACATGATTGTCCTCTTCACTCATATCATCCAGCTTGTGACAGTCTGTATTGTGAGATTCTTCCGCATAATTCTTCAAAGCTGAAACAAACATATCCAGTTGAAAAGAAACAATTTTGACATGTTAGAAATTGAAAAAAATGTTGACACACAGATCTGTCTTGGCTGTATGTAATTTTGATAGTAAATTGCAGAAAAAACAATATAGGGAGTTGGAAGGCCCTTTTTTTATGGCCGTCACCCATACAATTACATTTTACTTTGCAAACATAACACAAATTGAAATTCGTCACCTGCCCCCAATCATACAAAAATAATTCAAGTGCCATCCAAACCCCCCATATTTTTTTTCCTGAAATCACCCTTACTATTAGTGATTCTATTTAACTGACCTAATCACAAACTTTAACATACATGTAAACTACTCAAAAGTTTCAGTCAATGATCATATTTGAGGGGCGGTGCAAAACATAACTACTTGGACATTATTTATAATTGACTGATGGTATTAAACTCCCCTGCAGCACTATATTTATATATTGTGATGGTCAGTTTTTATTGGTGGAGTGTCCTGTGAGAACCACAGACTTCAGGAGGGAAAAAGACCATCCTTGTCAATTAAAGTTAGAGTCAAATGCACCTGCCACTTGCAAGATTCAAACTCACAAACACAGCCTGAATCTAAACATTGACATCTAACACAACAGAGTCTTGAATCGCTATGTCTCGCTTTGGCAACATAAATGTTTCAGGCTTGACAATAAAAATAGTATGTCTTTTAGAATTACTTCTCTAAGGAACAGGCAATGACAAGTCCAACCAAGATCAATATGATTTTGCAAATTAGACACCGACTTCTACAAGAGATGCAATGGCTTGCAGTTGTGTGAGAGCATGTGAACCTGCATGTGTAGAGTGGAAGTTAACACCAACATACCTTTGTGTCCAGGATGAATGCCCATTATCATATCTTCACAATCAGGTTCATTGATTTTTCTTGTTTGTCCTATAAAACTGGTGTGTTGTTCCTTACTAAATACTGTCTTGTTATTTGTGTATTTAGATTTACCCTGTCAGTTGAAAAAAAAAAAGACATGGAAAGTTTTTTTTAACTCAATAATATATGTATGTATACAAGCTCTACATCAACAGTATGACCATATCAATTATATTTCATGTTATTTTGGCCAATCAAGCTATTTTGAACAAAACTAGAGTGTAAAGTCTTTAAGATATTTTCAATTTAATGTTACCTCTAAGAGCTAGTTATCTTTCACATTGAAAATCAAAAGAAAATCATTCTAAAACTAACTTGAAGCTCCCAAGAGCCTGTGTCGCTCACCTAATTCTACTTCGGTTTTGGAAATCATGTAAAAATAGATTAAAATCATAACAGATACCCTAATAATGATTGAGGCCAAATTTGGTTTACTATTGGCCCCGTAAATTAATCAAAAGCAGAAGACTTTTGTAAAGTTTACAGAAATTACCAATAAATTCATTGAAATTGTAGAAAATGACTTTATAAGGACAATAAACTAGAGGCTCTCAAGAGCCTGTGTCGCTCACCTGAATTTACTGATGCTTTGGAAATCATGTAAAATAAGGTTAAAATCATAATTAATAGTATTAGATATTAGATATTATAATGATATCTAAGATAATAACAAATAAACTGCTTCGCTGAGCGCAGCTGGATATGCCCGCAGAGGTCCAACCCTGAACAGTTGGGGCAAAAATGGACACAATATTCAAGCTTGATACAGGTCTGAATTTGGATTGTATTAAATATTCAACATATTATAGGTTTCTGAATAACTGTAGTCAAAGAACTTGAAATTGGTTATATGAATTGAATTTATATTCAATTAAAGATTTCTTGCTGTTGTGCAATACACTGTGCTGTTGCGCAATACTTAGTAAATCTGTTCTCAGACTATAAACAAATAAAGTTCAATTAATTCTCAATGTCAAATTAGAAATTTATGAAAAATGTAAAGGGAGCTTACATCAATAGATATAAACAATTAACCAAAGTTTCATGAGAATTGCTGACAGCATTTTTGAGTTATTGTCTGAAAACTGGAAAATCCCCCTTTTTTTAATGAATAAAACCCCCATAAATCAGAAATGTAAAATGTAAAATTAATAAAATTCTAAATGGAGCTTACATCAATAGATATAAACAATTCACCAAAGTTTCATAAGAACTGCTGAAAGCATTTTTGAGTTTTTGTCTGAAAACTGGAAAATCCCCCTTTTTTTAATGAATAAAACCCTGTAACTCAGAAACGTAAAATCTAAAATTTATAAAAATCGAAAGGGAGCTCATGTCAATAGATATAAACAATTCAGCACAATTTCTTGCAAGTTGGTGAAAGCATTCTTGACTTATTGTCCGAAAACTGGAAAATCCCCCTTTTTTTAATGAATAAAACCCCATAGCTCGGAAACGTAAAATCTAAAATTTATAAAAAACAAAAGGGAGCTCACGTCAATAGATATAAACAATTCACCAAAGTTTTATGCAAATTGGTTAAAGCGTTTTTGAGTTAATGTCCGACATGTTGACGACGGACGGACAGACGGACGGACAGACAGACGGACGGACAGAGGTATACCATAATACGTCCCGTAAACAGGCGTATAAAAACTGCAAAATTTTTGTAAAATTACTAACTCAGGGGCAGCAACCCAACAACGGGTTGACAGACTCGTCTGAAAATTTCAGGGCAGATAAATCTAAATCTGATGAACATTTTTGCCACCTGTCAGATTTGCTCTAAATGCTTTAGTTTCAGAGATATAAACCAAAAACTGCATTTTACCCCTATGTTCTATTTTTAACCAAGTCGGCCATGATGGTTGGAAGGCGGGGTCATCGGACAAATTTTTTAAACTAGATACCCTAATAATGATTATGGCCAAGTATGGTTAATTTGTCTCAGTAGTTTCAGAGAAGAAGATTTGTAGATCTTACTTTGCTAAACATTATTGCTGTTTACAGTTTATCTCTATCTGTAATAATATTCAAGATAATAACCAAAAACTGCAAAATTTCCTTAAAATTACCAATTCTGGGGCAGCAACCCAACAACAGGTTGTCAGATTTGTCTGAAAATTTCAGGGCAGATAGATCTTGACCTGATAATCAGTTTTATCCAGGTCAGATTTACTCTAAATGCTTTGGTTTCGGAGATATAAGCCAAAATCTACATTTTACCCATATGTTCTATTTTTAGCCATGGCGGCCATCTTGGTTGGTTGGCGGGGTCATCGGACATATTTTTTAAACTAGATACCCTAATGATGATTGTGTCCAAGTTTGGTTTAATTTAGCCCAGTGGTTTCAGAGGAGAAGATTTTTGTAAAAAGCTAACGACGACGGACGACGAATGCCAAGTGATGAGAAAAGCTCACTTGGCCCTTCGGGCCAGGTGAGCTAAAAATCTGCTACAAAGTAACAACACGTGGTAAGCACTTCAATAGATACATTCATACCATGTTTGGTTTCAATCCATTAAGTGGTTTTCTAGAAGAAGACGTTTGGTTTCATTCCATTCAATGGTTCTTCAAAAAAAAGACTTTTGAATGTATTTCACATAGGATCCTTTGTTAAACTAAGTTCCCTGCTGGTGGGACTAAACTTAACTCTTTTTCTCCAGGGGCCAGCTGGGCCCCCAAAATATTTTTTTCAGGGGCCCAGTTGAAATTTTAGGGGCCCAACATATTTTTATACTAATAAAATAAAACTTAAATGCCTTTTTATGTAATCCTATATGTAATGTTTGAGTCTGGTAAAGGTTGTGTGTGGTAACTTTATAATATTTGAATTATTGCCATCATAAATATATCATAAGATTTGACAGTACTGAATTTAGAACAATTTCCCGCCAAAATTATCTCCCTTCAATTTGAACTTCCTGTTGACAATATAGCTGTTTCCATAAAACATTTAATGTTATTTCAAATCCAAGCCATCCTCTAATAAGTGTTGATCAAAAATATTATATAATTACTTTTCATCGAAGATTAGTTAGCATACTAGATATTATTATATTTATTTCTGAGATTTTGCATTTCGATTTTTCATTGAAGAACAAATTAAGTTGTGTTTACAAGTTTTTGTCAAAAACGGACCTGTAATGACTCTCTGAACAACTGGGATGTATCTCTAAAGTAATTCAGATTCCAAAGCATAACGAAAACACTTAAAAATAATGAAATAATCGTAGAAGCTTTAAAAAAGAAATTAGAAAACGTGTTTAGGAAAGAGGTATACATGTGTCAAATCGTGACTTCGCATCGAAAACTTAGTTGTCCGACTGGGTTTTGGTTATTAAAATGACCTAACTGGTTTCGGGAAATCCTCCGTCCAATTTTCACGCTTTAATTAGACAATCGGGTTTCCGTTTGGGAACAGTTTTTGCTTATATCATGGGGGAAAGGATAGACATGGGATTCAATGCAAAATATTTTCAGTCGCCAGCTGGGCGATCGGGATGATAAATATATTCGCCCAGCCGAAAATCTGGTCGCATTGGGCGACTGGGCAACCGTTAAGTTTAATCCCTGTGCTGGCAGCCATTTTGGATGATTGATTGGCTACAAAGTAACAACACTTGGCCAGCAACTCATTAGGAACATTCATGCCATGTTAGGTTTCATTCCATTCAGTGGTTCTCTAAAAGAAGACATTTGTATGTATTGTCCGTAGGGTCCTATGTTAAACAAAGTCTGCCGCTAGGGGCCATCTTGGATGATGGATCAGCTACAAAGTAACAACACATGGTCAGCATCTCATAAGAAACATTCATGCCATGTTTGATTTCATTCCATTCAATGGTTCTCTTGAAGTTCAAAATGTAATAAATTGCTTCGCCAAGCGCAGCTGGATACGATCGCAGAGGTCCGTCCAACCCTGAACAGTTGGCCAAAAATGGACGCAATATTCGCGCTTGATACAGGTCTGAATTTGGATTGTAGTTAAATATTTGACACATAAAAGGTTTCTGACACAGAAAAACTGTAGTCAAAGAACTTAGAATTGGTTTTATGATTTGAATTTATATTTAATTTTTTGCTTTTGTGCAATACACTTTGCTGTTGCGAATAGACCCCCCCTCCCCTCCACAAAAAATTAAAAAATTTATCCCTCTTTTTCTTTTGGCAAAAAAAATAATATTTCAAGAATTTTTCTTTTTAATTTCTGAAATCTGAAATGAGAAAAAATTGACACCCCACAATTTTTTTACGCCCCCCCTCCTTTTTCCCCCCAAAAAATTCTTTCCCTCAAGATATGGTCATAATCTCAATTCAAATTTCCAATGGAGTTTGCAACCATAATTACCCATTTAAATTTACCATAGTGCTAACTTAATCTATTTTATAATAGAATTTAAAATATGGTGTCAAATCTTTCACTTGCGGATATTTTTACTGGTCTTCCTTTATAAATATGCATTTCTTTAAACATAATTTAAAAGCAGTGTAAGGTAGGTAATCAAAATGTTGTATTTGGATTACCTCCCTTACACTGCTTTTACATTGTCTTAATTTTTCATTAACCGTTACTTTATACATAATCTAAAAGCAGTGTAAAGGAGGTAATTCAAATGATGTATTTGAATTACCTCCCTTACACTGCTTTAAATTATGTTTTGTACTAAAGTATTTGTCCATTAACCAGGACACCCTTGTTTTTCCCCCTTTTTTGCCCCTAATTCCTAAACGGTTTGAGCCATAACCCCCAAAACCAAATCCTAACCATCCCTTTGTGGTATGGAAACTTGTGGTATAATTTCAGATAGATCCATACACCGTACCACAAGTTATTGTCTGGAATGTAGAAAAATGTTTATTTTAGCCCCCTTTTGGCCCCTAATTCCTTAACTGTTGGTACCATAACCCCCAAAATCAATCCCAACCTTGCTTTTGTGGTATTGAACCTTATGGTAAAATTTCATAGAGATCCATTCACTTAAACCAAAGTCATTGTGCAAAAACCAATGTGTCTTCGGACGACAAAGAAGACGACGACAAAGACAACGCCACCAACGTCATACCAATATAGGACCGCAAAAAATTTTTGCGGTCGTATAAAATGTTAACGACGACAACCATCTTGGATGATGGATCAGCTTCAAAGTAACAACACTTTGTCAGCACCTCATAATGAACATTCATGCCATGTTTGGTTTCATTCCATTCAGTGGTTCTCTAAAAGAAGACATTTGTATGTATTGTCCATAGGGTTCTTTGTTAAACGAAATCCCCCTTTGGCAACCATCTTGGATGATAGATCGGCTTCAAAGTAACAACACTCGGTCAGCACCTCGTAAGGAACATTCATGCCAAGTTTTATTTCATTTCATTCAGTGGTTCTCTAAAAGAAGACATTTGTATGTATTGTCCATAGGGTCCTTTGTTAAAGGAAATCCCCCTCTGGTGGCCTTTTTGAATGATGGATCAGCTACAAAGTAACAACACTTAGTCAGCACCTCAAAAGGAACTTTCATGCCATGTTTGGTTTCATTCCATTCAGTGGTTCTCTAGAAGAAGTTCAAAATGTTAAATGTTAATGACAACGACGGACGCCAAGTGATGAGAGAAAAGCTCACTTGGCCCTTTGGGCCAGGTGAGCTAAAAAGTAAATAAACTTTGACACTGATATAAAGGTCCAGTGAATTCTAACAGATAAACTATTTAAGTTATATTATTAGCTGGGGAATAGATGAATTAAACAAAAATAAAACTTACTAACAGATGGAGCCTTTAAATCAAGTCCATGTTGCTCACTTAACTTTTTCTAGGTGGAGTCTCTGGACTTTGACAAGGGTAAGTCAAGGATGTTTATAGCAATTGAAGATTCCATATTATAGAAAACTAATTTGTTTTGTATATCAGCAACCAAGGGCAATTAAATATAAGGTTTTATAATGTTATTTAGGTTTGTTTTAAACAAATAATGTATTCACCTTACAAATGTATGGTTTTCTAAAATTTGAAAATAAAGAACTCATTGCAAAAAAAAACTTCTATGTTTGTAAAATGTGACACCATTGTACTGGTCAAATATCAACTGACACAGTTCATAAACATTACTAACACATACAGGATTGCAACATTTTGTTTACATCTTTGAGAACACTTTTCCTATGGGAAGTCCTGAATGAATAAAGACCTGATTCTCTAGATTTCTCTGACTTGAACCTAAATAAAATGCTCCGCTGGGCGCAGCTTGATACGACCGCAGAGGTCGAACCCTCAGTTGGGGCAAGTATGGACACAACATTCAAGCTTGATACAGCACTGAATTTGGATTGTGATTAAATATTTGACACAGCATAGGTTTCTGACACAGAATGAATGTGGTCTAAGAACTTAAAAACTTTTAATTTACCTATTCAAACCATATCATTATTATTTGCTTTTATATATAAATCAGAAATAACCAATTTATAACGGAAAATTTTAAAGAAAAAAAAGGAAAAAAAGGAAAAAAAAATCCCTCCCCCAAATTTTTTGAACCCCCTTATGATTCATCACCCCCAAACTCAATTCCAGCCTTTCCTTTGTGGTATGGTACCTTGCAGTACAATTTCAGAGAGATCCATACACTTGAACACAAGTTATTGTCTGGAAACTAGAAAAATACTTGTTTTTAGGCCCCTTTTTGACCCCAAATTCCTAAACGTTTTGGGCAATTACCCCCAAACTCAAACCCAGCTTTCCCTTTGTGATATGGAACCTTGTAGTACAATTTCATAAAGATCCATACACTAACACACAAGTTATTGTCATGAAACTAGAAAAATGCTTGTGTTTTTCCCCTTTTTGGCCCCTAATTCCTAAAATTTTGAGGCAATTACCCCCAAAAACAATTCCAGCCTTCCCATTGTGGTATGGTACCTTGCAGTACAATTTCAGAGAGATTCATACACTTGAACTCAAGTTATTGTCTGGAAACTAGAAAAATGCCTATTTTTGGCCCTTTTTTGGCCCCTAATTCCTAAATGTTTTGGGCAATTACCCCCAAACTCAATTCCAGCTTTCCCTTTGTGATATGGAACCTTGTAGTATAATTTCAGAAAGCAGAAAGATCCATACACTTACACACAAGTTATTATCATGAAACAAGAAAAATGCTTGTTTTTTTGCCCCTTTTTTGGCCCCTAATTCCTAAAATTTTGAGGCAATTACCCCCAAAATCAATCCCAGCATTCCCTTTGTGATATGAAACCTTGTGGTACAATGTAAGAGAGATCCATACACTAACACACAAGTTATGTCTGGAAGTTACAAAAATGCTTATTTTTGGCCCCTAATTCCTTAACTGTTGGTACCATAACCCCCAAAATCAATCCCAACCTTCCTTTTGTAGTATTGAACCTTATGGTAACATTTCATAGAGATCCATTCACTTAAACTAAAGTTAGAGTGCGAAAACCAATGTGTCTTCGGACGACGACGCCAAAGTCATACCAATATACGACCACAAAATATTTTTGCGGTCGTATAATAAAAACTGGATTCTAAAGATTACTCTGACTGAAACCTGAATAAAGACCAGATTTAAAAGCTTACTCCGACTAAAATCAGAAAAAAGACCAAATTTTAAATTTTCCCTGCTATGAGTGAAGAAAATTTTTCATCATAGTTTGCAACCCATTGTCCAAAGAACCCACACAAAGTTCATGAATTTACCAAATTCAGGCTTGTATAGTCCGCCATTTTATTCTCCAAAATTGAAGCTGCAAGACAGGGGTACGGATTATAGAGTACCACAAGCATTAAATAAATAAGAGAAAAATACTGAATTTGCCATGTTTGTTTTTGAAATTGTAGAGGGCGCTCTTATCATTTTCAAAACTAATAATTTACCTAATCCGTATTAATATGCACTTTTTATTCGATATCAAATATAAACTGATAAATTACAAAATTAAATGCTTTATTACAAATTTCTGGTTTCTTTTCACTGCATTGCATAAAATAAACTGGGATCCGCTTGAATTTAACGGAAAGAAAAAAGTGTATAAGTCAGCTGGGAACCAGCTAATGCATTACGATGTATAAACTACAAAATGTAATCGGTTATTCGTTCCTTTTTAATGTTTCATACTGATGCATATGTTTTGTTTTAGCTTAAGATTTTTCAAACATTTATATGATGGATATGTTAAACATTATTTTACATAAGGATGGAACTGTTTTACTTTCAAAGTCGTATTCTAGTGATATCTATTAAGTACAGATTTTCCTTACACTCTCACCATATCTATTTTCATTTACACATGCTATTCGAACTTCCGGTTTAAACACACACAAGTTTCTCAATTGTTTTTATGTGATTTTGACTTATTTTATCACTCGTGAAGTGTTCTAGGATCATTTACAAACATTTTCAACTTCTATTTGGTGATGGAAAACAGGTTTTTCCATGAAAATACCGCAAACGATCACACAAGATTTGAAATTTCATTAGATGTTTTCGAACAGTTACAAAAAGTTTTTTTTACCTAAATTCTTGTGGCAAGAAGGGGGGTGCAGACAATGTACTAGTGCGAATTATACAAAGCTGATTACTGTAACTACAGCACAATCTTGAGGTCTACAAGGATGAAATTCTTTCTCCGTTTTATTGGTAAATATGTAAACATGGTAACCTACCTTTTTTCTTTTCCGTTTTTCTTGTGTATGTATTGTCAAGAGTCTTTCTATAAGAAAAAAGAAATAGATTCCTCCAAGCCCACACAACCCTTTCAATACAGATGACATATGCTGTGAGTTGTCATGTGAATCATGTTCACCTTGCGAGGAATGTCCACTTTGGAATGCCTGAAATTTATGTCGAACATATATATATACATGTTAAGACAATGTCAATGGTTTAATATCAACATAGTGTAGTTGAAGTACTGTCCCACCGATCCAAAAAACGTTCACAAGTTACAAATCATCATTGTTAAGCTGATAACTAAATATGCAGTAATTCTTGTTAGTAGTACTTGAGAAATATGTGAAGAAAAAGCCTTCCTTTTTGTAGTCCAATGGTAAATTATTCCTGTTTAGTCCACTTAACCGTAGCCAAGTAAAGTTTTAAAGATTTGCCATAGGGCTGAATGGGCATGCAATATTATCTCAAGTCTCACCACTTTGCCTCAATAATCAAAGTGCATTTATTTTGCATTCGAAACTAAAAAATTATACATTGCATTGTATTAAGCATTGGAAGGAAATACTTTGAACTGGTTCAACTACAATGCTGTACAGAGGAAGATAACTCCAATTTTAAATATTTCTTTAACAATTACACCATTGATATTTTTAGATCAGATACTGGATTCATGCACCATGCACAATTTATGTAATTTTCTTGACAACGATGGTCATGATGGTTATACAAATACACACCATTTTGTAACTTGAATACATTGTATCTGAGTAAATGATTCATTGATAATTTCTTAAAATGTTCATGGATACGATGTATATAATCATGATAATGTTGTGCACTATGTTTTGTTTATCTCAAAAGTAGTGGTAAAGTCAAATGAAAGTCTGGAAGTATAAGAACTATCAAGCTAGCAACATAAGGGTTTTTAATTCATGAATGCAATCCTTACCCTAACATCTTACACATTGTAGAAAGTCTGTAAACCATTCTTTTAAATTTTGAAAGACTTGAATTTTATTTTTCAGTAAAGGAAGAAAGTTGAAAATTCACCAATCAAAATCATACATAAAGGTCAAGTTACAGAAAATGTGTAATGTCACAGATTTTTGTCAAATTTTGCATATAGCTGTCGTTTGATGTATTAATTTCTTTTATTTTCTGAAACATTATTGAATACATCCTTTCAAAAAAGATGTATAATTGTATGAAATAACATCATGAACATTAACTCTGTGAACATCGTGAATACCACTCTTAAATTTGTCTTAAAATCATCAAATCTCCAATAATTAATGCATAGAATTTTTCTTTAAATTTTTTTAAGTTTTTGATAAATAAACCGGTTTGATTAATATAAAATAATCATAGGGTCAAAGACCTCGTTTTTGATATATAAACCAATCTGTTCCCAACTTGCTAGTTAAAAACATCAATCATATTGAACAAAAACAATGGTGGAAAATTAGGAAGAGTAGTTTGAATAATTTCAAAACATATAAAGATATATGGTGTGGAAAAAAAACCTTGATATAGCAATATTGAAGACAATGGCATTTACTGCATCTCAGTAGAAAGATAAGAATTTTTCAGAGGATAAATGTGCTAAATGTGAGTCACTGATTGTGGGTCCCTTAATTTCAAACTTTATAAATTTTATTAAAAGAATCTTTCTTTGGTAATTTCTTCTGTTTCTACATGTTCTAAAGATGAAAATGTAAAACATAAAACCTGGAACATTATTTGATTAAAATATTAAACTGCAATTTCAATAAAGTTGTTATGCAAATTAAGAGAGTCACTGTCATTACCTAATCTTATCCTTTGAAAAATTCTAACTGGTTGACGTTTCGCCTGTCTGCAGGCAACAATTTACATTCAGAAATTCAACACAAAAGAACAAAGCTTGGTAAATTAAATTAATGTCAGAATGTATGTTGCTCTGGTGAGAGAAATAAAGAAAAGCAAAGTAAAGAGCTATATATATATAGCAGATATGAAATATAAACTCAGCTTGAGTTTGTTTTTGTTATATACATGATATATGACGCATGACATTGTTTTGAAGCTTGATACATGTATCTAATGGACTAACTTCCCATGGTCCCTACAACTTGCCAAGGGTTCCCTTTTAATCCAGTGTAAGCATGTTAAGAGGGTACTGCTTTCTGGCGCATTGACAGACACACTACCATTTTACTCTCCATAACATCAATGTTTGGGGGTATATCAAACACTAACAAATAAACCTACATGAGGAATGAGATGTAACATAGCATCCCCAGAGAGGGCTCCAACAGCTAACGCTACTAAAAACTGTAACAGGTGATTATAGAAGACTTTCTGCATGATAGGAATCACAGTTACACCAAGTAGTCCTACTAAACTGATGACAGTCACTGACAGACAGCTGAATCCCCATACTGAAATACAATTACATTTAGTGTGTTCTAGTAAATTCATTTAACTACATTGTGGCCAAAAATAAAATTAAATTGTTTGATGTTGCCTACCGAAGTTGTAACTTATGATATTGGCCATAAAAATCTCTAACTACCTACCCAACCCTACAAGGCATGGGTAGGCAACACCAAACAAAAATAAAGTTCAAGGGTGGTCAATTTTTATTTATTGGTGTGTAAACAGTTTCACTTTTGAGATATTTAAATTCTTCGCTTTACCAGTGGTTACTAACAACACACATCACAATCGACCTGTATCAATTGTTCATAACCTGACAGATACGATCAAGCAAAGCGGTTGTATACTTGGAGAGGACGCAAGTAAATCACTTAAGTCAGTGTTTATTTCATTCTATTTTCTCCAAATTTAAATTTCGTTATTTGACAAGAGTGCTGTTGTAAATTTTTAGTCTAAGCGGGTACGTAGGCGTAGTGTTTCAGCGCAATAACGTTCTGTTTTAGTCTTAAAAATGATGATCTTTTGTGAAAAGTTCTTATTTTCTATAAATATAAGCAAAAATTGTCATGTTTAAAACAGTCAATTAATTTATAAGCTAACAAGTAGTCAATATAATATTGACTACTTGTTAGCTTATAAATTAATTGACTGTTTTAAACATGACAATTTTTGCTTATATTTATAGAAATATAATAATTATATGATCATCTTGCAATGCTCAGATAAAAAGTAGATATACAGAAAAGTTAAATCTATGGAATATAGGAAAAACTTTCACTGCAACTACCAATATTTTCTTAGCAAAAAAGTTTGTTCAATTTCATATGTAATAAATTATCAATTTCATATGCAATAATCTTTATTGTGATATCTCTATCTAAGGTTGTACTTTGTGCAGAATATTCAAATATTTTGACAGAAAGAAGACTCCTAATTCATTTTTATGATATTTGAATGTTAATGTACAATGTATAACTGTGCTTGCTGTATTATTTAATCTATATTATTATAAAGTTACATCATGTACATGTACATCATTCTACATACTACTTACCATGTGTTCTTTCTCATTATATAATCAATGTATGACGTCTTTACACTAAATCCATTGGATGTTGGATGTGTGCTGATTGATATTTTAGTCTTAGATGCATGATTTTTTTAATTACTTGTTATTGTAAGGATGTACAAATACCTTGCCACATCCTGTCTGTGTTTTTGTTAGATGTCTTTCTGCTTTGTATCGATCTGATGAGTTAATCCCTTTTTATATGATTTTTATAGTTTTTTCTTATGATGTACTGTTATATCACAGTGGGAGGGTCTGGAGCCAACAAACTATTTTAACCCCGCCACATCCTGTATGTGCCTGTCCCAAGTCAGGAGCCTGTAATTTAGTGGTTTTTGTTTGTTGCTATATATCATATTTGTTTTTCGTTTATTGTTTTGTACATAAATCATGTAAATCAGGCTGTTAGTTTTCCTCGATTGAATTGTTTTACTTTTGTGATTTCAGAGCCTTTTATAGCTGACTATGCGGTATAGGTTTTGCTCGTTGTTGAAGGCCATACAGTGACCAATAATTGTTAAACTTCTATATCATTTGGACTCTGGTGGAGAGTTGTCTCATTGGCAATCATACCACATCTTCTTATTTTTATATATATATGAGTATAATGTTCCATACAACCAATACCAGTACATGTATTAGTAAAACCATTTTTTTTCTTTTTCAAGGACTAGAAGTTGATAACAAAATGTTACCTTCCATGAGGTCAATTATATTTTTTTTTGACAGGTTGATTTTTGAGGCTTGACCGGACAACAGCAAACAAACCTATTTTTATTTTATGCCTCATTTCTTACATTTCTGTACTAAAGTGTCCAGATCATATAACCCTATTCATCTATTGATAAATCACACAAAAATTTGAAAGAATTAAAAGAATTCAAGGGGCCAGATGGAAGGCTTTTATCATATCTCCTTTTTTTTTACACTTTTTTACGTACCTTTTGGGAGACGGTAGCTACTCTCTGATGTATTCAGATGTTGATGAATTCCATTGTGATCATGTTCATCTGCATGCTCTAAACCCATCAACATGAACAGAAACCCAGGACAAAAGCTAACAAACTGGTTCCTTGTTATACCAGCTGTATATCCATACTCATGTAACAAACTGTCAACATTGTATTTTTCCTGAAAATTTAAAGCCAACATTTTCTCTTTTACAAAAGTTTTTACATTGTAAAATTTCAAATAATAATTTTATAAAAATAACTGAGTCATAACAGTGTTGTACAAATCATAGGCTATTTCTCGAATCATGTCTTTCGCTGGAAAATATCGTCAATTTCGCACGCCTTTATGACGTCATTTACCAGATAGAAGGCGAGCCTGTATCCCTAGCCTGCTCTATTAAAGTTTCAAGCACTTTCAGAATCGTCATTCTGCAGGGTAGTTTAGAAATAATTTATGTTCCGTAAGTACGTAATCTTAATTCCTGTACCGCTTAAGGGAGGGTGACCAATTTATTAGATTTTAATTTTCCAAATATTTTGTGCATTATAAGATCAAACTTTTTCACCCTTTCGCTCATCATGTGTTGGAAATGACGATGCCTACATTTTAGTCACGTGGTGATGGTAGTCACATGACAGATTCAACTAACTACCGTATCCCGGAACTGGCGTATTAAAGAAAAAGTTAGAACCAAGGGGACATCAAGTCTGATGATACAACATGTACAAATGTACATTGTCGCCCTTTTTAAATAAAGGACCCAATTTGATTAAAAGTACCTTCAGAGAAAGTTAAGGCTTAGTACGCAAGCCTATAAGATTATTTATGATTTATGTAAATAATTTATATATATATCAATTCAAATACCTTCCAGCAAGTTATTTTATACAGTATTTAAGTTTTCTATCATCATGATCACCAAATATTGCATATAAATTACAAAATGTACTCTTTTATCATTTTTCTTTTAAGATTAGAATTGATAAAAGAAGAATTTAATTATTCATATAATATCCGATTATTTTATCACCACATATATACTATATAAATATACATTGTAATATTATAAATGTCTCTTTTAAAATAGTATAAGTGTCCAATATTACTACATTTTGAACATTATGTTACACAATGCAAATACTCACTTTAACAGAACTGTCATTTTTTGAAGTAATTTTCAAAGATCTTTTATCTTTATTCCTGGGAGTCTGATCTTCCTCTTCTGAATGTTTGTGCTCATTTTCAAAGTGATTGTGATGATGGTCTTCGCTGTGATCATGATCTTTATCAACAGGATCAACTTTAAAACCTAACTGTGTTAACATTTTGTCCAGTCCATCATGTGTCAACACACCATTTTCATTACCAAAATCTTCAAATAACTTAGAAATAAAATATTCCCTCTTTACAAGTCTCTCATGTTCCGACATATTACTTGAGTTCTGAAGAATGATCTGTTTCAGTGTTTCTTCGTTTGGTTTGATAGGTTTGGGGATGACTTTATCATACAATTTGTTTTGCTCAGTTTCTTTACAAGTACTTTGTTCAGGTAAAAATGACAGCACAAATAGTGTTAGACATACAAAACATAGTTTTGAGGAACACATCTGGAATAAAAAATTACATCATTATTGAAATCCCATTACTGTGTGTTTAAAAAGAAAGATTCCTCAAATGTACCACTTAACAACCATGACAACAATTGAAAATTTATCTTTTTTGACCAATCTTATTATTTATCCAAAAATATGCTTGTTCCCGGTTTTCCCACCTACAGTCAGGGGTACTACTTGTACAAGTAATTTTTATTTACTTGAGGAAGTAATTATAATATACTTATATAAGTAAATTTGTAGGATACTTATGCAAGTGTATTTTATTTACTTGTATAAGTAAATTATTTTTTGGCCTAGTTATGTCCCTTAGACATTCAGATTTTTTTACTTATACAAGTAAAAAAGTCATCCTATCTTCTTTTCTTGAATTCTTAGAACTTCTTTGCTCTAACAGAATTTTGAATTGTCTGTCCTTTGCAGATGTCTTTACTATTCATTTAAGTGTAATTTCATGGACAATGAAAATCTCATTTGTCTGTTATCTTTAGAACACTGCTCATTTACAAGCCCCCAAGGAGCAATTTTTGAAGGCCTTGCGCAAATACTTAAGATCTTTGCTCAATCAGTTTCTTTGTTGAATTAATGAGATGAAACATTGAACTCTTATCAAAAATTATGAGCTAACCTGAGAAAAATTGTTAAAGGCATGATTTTACATCTCAAAACTTGAGAATTTTTGTGGGATTGTAAAAAAAATTTACTTATACAAGTAAATTTTTTATAAAATTAAGGGGAGATTATTCAAACAATATAATTAACTTGTATAAGTATATTTTATTTACTTCTTCAAGTAAATAAAGATTACTTGTACAAGTAGTACCCCTGACTGACCTAGTTATCATCGTCATGTATCATGTGTATATATTATATACATTGTTCAATTACCTCTGTGTACATTTCAAGTCTACAGCGATGTTGGCTAATGCAATGCATCTACATGTAAGCTTTAAGCATTGAGTAATTGTGTGTGATGATCGAACTACAATGAACTACTAGACTAATGTTTTAGGGATAAATTAGGATAAATATTTTATCTTTTCAATTTTACACAATGTATGAACATTTTTATGAAAACTATTTTATTTATAACCAGTATACATAAATATAATAAATTGCTTCGCTGAGCACATCTGGATACAACCGCAGATGTCCAACCCTGAAAATTTGGGGCCAAAATGGACACAATATTCACGCTTGATACGGGTTTGAACTTGGATTGTAATTAAATACTTGACACATAATAGGTTTCTGCCACAGAATAACTGTAGTCAAAGAACTTAAAAATTGGTTATATGATATAAAATGACATACATAGTCATGGCTAAAATCAATATTAATTATTGCGAACCCAATGAAAGTTTTCCACAGTGCCATCTCTATCTTGACCAGGTATTTAAACTTTTGCAAGTTCACCTGTCCTTTTGAATAAATACAATAGCTATTGTTCTCTGTGTAGTTTATTCTCTGGGACCTTTAAATTTCTTCTAAGAGAAATCTATCATTCATTGATTAAATTACCTGAGTATAAAAAAATTCTTATATATAGACAAAAATACTTTTTTATACTCATTAATTGCGTGTGATGATGTATTTATTAAATATTAATAATATATTTTCATTCAGTTTAATATAAACATTGATTCAATCATAAAAAGTTGATTTCTTACAAAAGTTTTATCAATGTTCCTATTGAAATTTGATTTTTTTTTGTCTAGTTGTAGAATACATTTAAGAAGATCTTGATTTGAACATCATAATTTTCAAGTTTTTATTCATGTCAAACAAATTTTTTAATGTTGAAAGTTTTGTCAGAAATCAACTTTTTATGATTGAATCAATGTTTATATTAAACTGAATGAAAATATATTATTAATATAACATAAATCAACGCTAACATGTTTAACCCCGCCACATTCTGTATGTATGTTCCTGTCCCAAGTTAGGAGCCTGTAATTCAGTGGTTGTCGTTTGTTTATCAGTCAGGGGTACTACTTAAACAAGTGATTTCATTATCACCTATTTCAGTGATTTGATAAATTCAGTTATCACCTATTTAAGTGATTTTGGTGTTTCCTTTGATCTTCAAATGCTAATTTCATTGATTTTCCATATTTTGACAAACTTTTCTATAATTTTTCTACATAGAACTAATTATCCCTTTCTTTTGTATATCAATTTCACCAGTGCGCTTGGACAGTAAGTTAGTGGGCTAAAGCTTTTAAAAGTACCCTTGGGAATTTTTCTATAATCAAATATTCATTAACTACTCTTACAATGTCTTACTATCAGACAAAGGTCAACAATATTAGGTAACCTGATTGGTTTTCTTTAGAGTTATAATGATCTACTTCAAGGTTATGTCCTGATCTACAAATTATTCCAGTTTTTGCATATTTTAAACAAACTGTAAAACTGACAGGCTAATCAAGCAAAAGACAATTTCTGCATGTACATAGCTGTTTTTTTCAATGGAATTCTTGTCTTTTTACCAATAAAAAAGGCAAGCTTGTGGGAAAAATATCAAGAAAATGTTATAAACACTTGTTGAAGTGATTACATTTTAACTTCTCAAATTACTTGTTTCAGTGATTTTAAAAAGTCTGTGTCTATTTTTGTGAAAAGTTTTAATATTTCACAGCCAAAATCACTTGAAGAAGTGATTCTGAAATCACTTGTTTAAGTAGTACCCCTGACTGTTTATGTGTTACATATTTGTTTTTCGTTCATTTTTTGTACATAAATTAGGCTGTTAGTTTTCTCGTTTAAATTGTTTTACATTGTCATTTCGGGGCCTTTTATAGCTGACTGTGCGGTATGGGCTTTGCTCATTGTTGAAGGCCGTACGGTGACCTATAGTTGTTAATTTCTGTGTCATTTGGTCCCTTGTGGAGAGTTGTCTCATTGGCAATCATACCACATCTTCTTTTTTATATTTTATTAATGTTTCAACTTTGCATCACTGTTTACATTCAACCGATTGGAAATATATTATCTATCTTGAATAAATATAACATCACATGCAGTTTTGAGTATAAAACATGTATTTTCCTCTATTTACAAGATTTTTTTATTACTCAGGTAAATTAATCAATGAGTGATAGATTTTTCTTAGAAGAAATTTAAAGGTCCCAGTGAAAAAACTACACAGAGAAAAATAGCTATTGTATTTATTCAATAGGACAGGTGAACTTACAAAAGTTTAAATACCTGGTCAAGATAGAGATGGCACTGTGGAAAACTTTCATTGGGTTCGCAATAATAGTAACTTTTAAAAATAAATTGACAGCTAATCACCTCAAGACAATCATCATTTCTTAATACATAATTTACAAGCAGTGTAAGGGAGGTAATCAAACATTGTTGTTTTAAATTGGGATTGGATTACCTCCCTTAGACAGCTTTAAATTGTCTTAATTGTCCTTTAACCAGAAAAAAACTTGTTTTTCCCCCTTTTTTGCCTCTAATTCTTAAAAGGTTTGAGCCATAACCCCCCATAGTCAATCCTAACCATCCCTTTGTTGTATGGAAACTTGTGGTATAATTTCAGAGAGATTCATACACTTTAACACAAGTTATTGTCTGGATACTACATAAATGCTTATTTGGGCCCCTTTTTTGGCCCCTAATTCCTAAACAGTTGGGACCATAACCCCCAAAATCAATCCCAACATTCCTTTAGTGGTTATTTAACTTGTGTTTAAATTTTATTGATTTCTATTTACTTATACTTAAGTTATTATCCGGAAACCATCTGTCTTCGGACGACGCTAACGATGACGACAACGTGATACCAATATACGACTAAAAAATTTTTAATTTTTGCGGTCGTATAAAAAATTGAACTAAAATGTAACCATCCTTCTTTTTATGATGCAATGTCAGATAGAAGGCTCATTTGCTTGATTTTGCTACATCTACTACATTTTGTAATGGTTACCCTTGAGGATCCAAATTTTGAGTCTCATTTCCAATATTCTTCTTATATGGTTTTTCCAGGAGAAATAAATAAGCAATAAAAGATATTTAAATCCAATTTCTTTGGCTGTGGATGGATTTTCAACATACATGTAACGTTATTTAAAGTGAAAAGATGCATATTTTTCGCAGAATTTTTCATACAAGACAATAGTTCACAACTTTTTAGTTGACCGTATCTCTTGAAGAATTAAAGGTGATGTTTTTCAATATTCTACTGCAGTTCAATGAGTTCTAAATGCATAAAAAATCTAATCTAAAATCAATATACATGTATCACCTAATTACAACTACTATGCCTGTACTGGTTTCATTCCCATTATCGTGCACATAAGGAAGCATGCTGTGCATTTCTTCATCAACAATGATCAAGTTCTTTTTTTATCAAAGGTGAAAAAAATACTTATATGAATACCACAATTATACAGTGATCTGGAAGGATTTTTTCTCTATGGGCCCAGGGCCCCCCAAAAATAAATTCAATGGGCCATTTTTAGAATTAATGGGCCATGTTGTCAAATGAGTGGGCCATTTGTTTACAATAAAAAAAAAATTAAAAAAGTGTATATTTCACTGTACTTACAAGTATGATTCTAATTAATATCATGGAAATTGTTCCTGTGATTTTGTTATTTCAATTTCAATGAATATACAATAACTTCTTCCAAACAGGGCAATATTTACGATAACCTTTATTTACAATGTTAAAACTGGTACTGTTCCCTTGTTCATGTTCATGTTTTTTTTACATTAAATTTGGGTCTTCGTCGATACCATACTTATTCCAGACGTTCCGTATTAGAGGACGTTTCTGGCATTTCCTCTGCACTTGTATTATTATTACTGCATCACGATGACAAGAATAACAGTAGAGAGCAACGTTAATTGATAAGACACAACAACAATTCGCTGAAGGCATGTTTACAAAATGTCAAAACGAGCCAAAGACCAAAAAAATTGACAAGGACAGTTAAGCCCCTTTTATGGAGACAAATACTATGCTATTCATAAAAAGGCTTTTGGATTTTTCAATCGAAATAATAGCAAGCTTACTTAAAAGATTATAATTAGAGAAGAATTCTCGCCTGTACTAGCCAATTTTCACAAATTTAAAGTTGTTTATAAAAAATTATATCATGAATGATGGTTAATTACGTTTTTTGGGAAATCAGTCATACCACATGTTGCTATTATTACCATAGGAAAACACCCGAGACGTCCCAAAAATATATAGGTGCTCCTATCATTGGAGTTGTGTATTCACACATGGCGGCACGAAATAAGATCGGAAATCCATTTGACGATATCTCAACGTTTCAAAACTAAGTGAAAAATATCATGCGCCAAGCGGGCGCTTACATTTGTCACTCTATGCGCCATTTTTGGTCGATAAGCGCAATTGGCGCAAGGCGCAAGTCCTTCCCGATCACTGATTATATTCATGTAATTATAAATGTTACACTAAAAGTTGGCAGGCATTGCATTCTATCTTTTTATTAAGTGGGCAGAGTAAGCAGGCCTTAATTCAGTGGAAGTTAACTCCTTTTCATTTTCATGATTATGGCAAAGATGGCAGGACTTTATTCAGCAGGATTTAACTTGTGGAGAGTTGGTAAATTATACTAAATATGAGTTGGAGAAAATAAAATGTGGGACGAGTTGGATGAAAGTTAGGGGATCGGGTTGGCCTGAGGTGATATAGCACAGGGGCAAGTTTGTCTTGGATTCCAGGTATCATCTTCTTCTTTAGGCTTTCAGTAGTCCTTCAATTATCTGAAGATTATTTACTGTTTTGAGCAGCTTGGCCTTTACTAGTCGAATGTATATATTCATTTTTGTATTTACAAGAATACATTTGTACAAAAATGATTGAAAATGAATTTGGAGTGCCAACTTTTTAAATTGTGATTAAAAGTAATGATGCAATGTAGTATAATCAGTTTGTTTATGTTGTTGATTCAATGTGTGCAACAGGTTGGGCTCAAGTCAGGAAAACTGGGGTATTCCTTGTTTTCAGGGAACACCCCAGTTTTCTGGTGTTAAAAAACCCCAGTAAACAGGGACTTCTTTTTTCCTTGTCAATTTATGGTATGAAATCTACAAAAGCGCACCTTCTACATGTGATAACAATGTTATTTGATAGCAAGTGTTTTTATAAGTTCAAAAATCAAGCTAATTTCAAGTCTTATTTGATGTTCAACTCACAACAAAACAATTCCTTTGTTCACCAATTCATACCTTGATCATCAATTATGAGAAGACAAAAAGATAAGTTAATCACTTAGGCATTTAAATTCAATGAATAGAAAATTTCAATAGAAGTGAACATAATTCAGTTATGATCAGTTACACCTGGAGCATGCAGCTTGATCAACTGATTCCTAAACAAAAGATTTGTATGTTTTTGAGTTCTAGAAAAAACAAGGCTTCACTTATTCATGTTTTGTTGTTCCTGAGATACTTTTAAAAAGTATTTACAAATACTACTGATACTAGTCCAAATAATTATGACGTCTTGCAAGGCTATTTTAATTTTTTTTCTGGGACGCAGAAAAAAAATTAAAATAGCCTTGCAAGACGTCATAATTATTTGGACTATACTGATACAGTTAAAACGGAAGCAAGTTAACTCGTACCATTGTAAACTCGTACCATGTAAACTCGTACCAAAAAAGTTAACTTGTACCAACGTAAACTCGTACCACTGGGAAGTCGTACCATTCAGAACTCGTACCACTGCAAACTCGTACCATTAAAAATATATTCAAAAATACGAATGTTTTATGATTTTTTTTTGTAATCTTAATAAAAAAGTTGAATTACTTGAATTTTATACCAGATTTTAATGAAAACTTAGACAAAAATACGAATGTAATTCCTTAATTACCATGCTAATTGATATATTAAATTCCTTTGATTGTATGATTATTGGGTTATTATTAACTAGTCAACTTGTTAATCATATTATTAAATTTTGATTGTTGTTATATAATTTAACAGCTTGGAATTAAAAGCCACACGAATTCCACTTGAAACTGAGGGTGATCTCAGGTGCCTTTTCAGATATCAGTTATTTTCCTCTGTTGCTGGAGCGAGGTGTATCTTCGGCTACAGGTGTTATACATGTATATAAATCGGGAAAATTATAATGACCTTTTGATTATATGAATTAAAGTACGGTCTTAATCATGATTTTGTGCAACAATGAGCTGAATATTGTATAAAAATAAATTTCATACTTTCTAACTGTTGGTCATAACCAATTTTAAACCTTTAAAACACAAGAAATAAATTCTCTCATTAAATAAAATTCCTTTTAGAAACAATAGAAAAATACCCAAATCTATTCAATGTTACTTATTTGGAATGATTAAAAATTAAATCAAATAGTTGTCAGTAAAAGTAAAAAAAAGGGTCTGTTCAAGGGAGACAACAAAGCCAATCTGCCACGGTTTTCTCTATCCAATTAGACAAGGAAAATTAGCATAAATTGGTCAGTGTAATTTCAGATTATATACATTTTACAGACTTAAGAGGTATTGAGTGAAATTAAACTATATATTCATCATTAAACACCATTTGAATACATTTAAATAAGTAGGTACGAGTTTACAATGGTATGAATTTACCGTGGTACGAGTTAGCATTGGTACGAGTTTGCATTGGTACGAGTTTTTTTTTAGTGGTACGAGTTGACATTGGTACGAGTTTACAATGGTACGAGATAACTATAATTCGTTAAAACATGTGCTTTTGTAAATTTCATGCCATGAATTGAAATAGAAAAAGGAAGTCCCTGTAAACTGGGGTTTTATAACACCAGAAAACTGGGATGGTCCCTGAAAACAGGGAATACCCCACTTTTCCTGACTTGAGCCCAACCTGTTAAACATGAAAACATTTCATGTGTGCCATTGACTTTTATTTTAAGAATATATATTTATGTGAACTGCAAAATACCAGTAATTGTAATTTGACTTTATTTATAAGGATATTCTATATGACGCAATGTTAAAACCTGATGTTGAAGCGGTTCCTTTGACTTTGTTTATTTACATTAAATTCTGTACTGGAACTGTACTTGCTGCAAGCTTACAACCTTCCCGTTTCGTTTCCCATATCGTAAACTTACCGTAAATTTCGGTCCGTGTGCAAACTTTCCCATGTGAAGTCAACAATGGCTGCTTCACCTTTCGGAAGTTTTCTTTGTCAGAATTCGCTAAAAAGATCGGTAAATTCCGTACTGTAGTATTGATTTTCGGTGAGACTTCACATGCTTCATGTGTGTGTACTTCATTCATGTTTAAACTTTTTCTTTTCTTTGTATGTGCACTTGACATAATAAATAAATAATAATAAATAAGCTTTATTTAGAGTCGGCATAGTATACTAACAAGGACATAACATAAGCTCTAAATCTCTAATGTAACCGACATACACGACATTTATAACACACATAATACACATACAATAAATTACACAGCCAATTGCCTTTTTTTTTTGTATGCTCTTTGTGAGCCCATTTAATGGAAATAAAACATCTTCATACGATTGATTGTTAGTTGCTTTTATATGTCAAGTGGCAAATATTTCATGCATGTTCAGGACGAAGGAGTTAGGAGGGGTTTAGCACAGGTATTGGTTTCTGATTTTTTGTTACATAATTATACCTTATTATTAATGTGTTGTAGGAGTTTCTTGGTTTATGGTGTAACTGTACAGGTATTGATATGTGTAAAAGCTTAAATGTAACTGTATATTAGAGTATCATATCGGGATGTCTCTGGTATAATGTACATATTATTTAACCTAAAGTAATCCCATTGGGAGTGCCCTTAGAAAGGGTGAACCTACCATACGGGTATGAGGCGCCGTTTTACTATTTATTACCTATTTTCTTATATCAAAAAATGATTTTCTGATATCAAAAATTATATTTTTTTATATCAGAAAACGAGTCGATTTCTTGATATCAAGAAATAAAGAATATTTTCTGATATCAAAAATTCGAATTCCTGATATAAAAAATTTTGATTTTTTGATATCAAGAATTCGAATACCTGATATCAAAAAATGATTTTTTGATATCAGAAAATAAGAAATAAATGAATGATGGCTCCCTGTGTGTCATTTAAAACATTCAGGCTCACCAATGAGGCCAAACCTCAGGAAATAGTGAAATAATGTTCCCGGTCAGTAGACCAATTGTTTTATAGTGTGGAGTACCACTATACACGTTATTGGTCATTATATTGATGACATTGTGTCCCTTGTTACAAAAACAAAATGCTTATACACTTCAAGTTTTATAAACATGAATAAAACTTCAAAGTCTCCGGAAAACTGCTATTTAATAACAATATTTGAAGCAAAAAAAATCTTTACACTAATCTTTAGTTTGATCAAACGTATTACGAAATTCAAGACCCATGCACTAAAAGACAATATATGGAAGATTTTTTAAAATTATTCCTAAATAAACCATTTTTACTCTTGTGTCGTACAATCCGAATTGGCGGGATATGTCGACCTAAGAATTTACTACATACTGGAAAATGTTTTCAAGATTTAGATACGATGGCTCGATAATATATTCAGGTTCAACTGGCGATATACACGATCTTCTCGCCTTATATATCTAATACAATGCATATATACCCTACTAAATTGTACTTACCACTTTTCTCAAAATGAAGTGCAAATTTCTTGACAATCCTTTCAATATAAAGACAAACTTTTCCAAAATGAAGGTATTTTAGAGATGAAAACGTACATCCAACCTACTGAAACGTTTCATTACTTCAAAGAAAAAGCTCATATGTATTTAAAAGGTTTATGGAAGACGCGGTTCATAAGAAATCCTAGCAGTCTCGTAAAAAGACGAAATAGACAAATCTTTTGAAAATACAAGACATGCATTTTTTTATGTTGTTGTTGGCTTTGAACTAGTTGTCACTATTTCATCTGTAATTTGTGTCTTTTTGTTGTTGTTACCCTGCCACGTTTGTTCTTACACTATGTTGTAATGTAACACCAGTGTCCGAGGTTAGGGGGAGAGTTGAGCGCTAAAACATGTTTAATCCCGCCACATTCTTTATGTGTCTGTTCCAAGTCCGGAGCCTGCAGTTTAGTGCATTGACTTGGTTCATAGAATTGAGAATGGAAATGGGGGGAATATGTCAAAGAGAAAACAACCCGATCAAATAGCAGACAACAGCCGAAGGCCACCAATGGGTCTGCAACGCAGCGAGACAATCCCGCACCCGGAGGTGGCCCTCAGCTGGACCCTAAATACAATTGTGTACTAGTTCAGTGAAAATGGACGTCACACCAAACTCCAAAACATATCAATGAACTAACATTAAAAAACATACAAGACTAACAAAGGCCAGAGGCTCCTGACTTGGGACAGGCGGAAAAATGCGGCGGAGGTTAGACATGTTTTGTGAGATCTCAACCCTCCCCCTATACCTCTAGCCAATGTAGAATAAAGTAAAACAGCAATACGCACAGTAAAACTTAGTTTAAAAGAAGTCCGAGTCCGATGCCAGAATAGGTAACAAAATAAACTAAGCAAAATGACAATGATACATAAATGAACAAAGGACTACTAGCAGTTACTGACATGTCAGCTCCATACCTCAATTAAACTGATTGAAAGATTATGTCTTCATCATAAGAAAATCAAGTACAATCCCTCCCGTTAGGAGTTTAGTATCATACCATCATAAAATATATGAGAACATAAACCGTATCATGCCAACAACTGGTTTTAGAATAAATGTGTTTATTTCCGATGCAAATTTTGAAAGACCCTATGAGTGAATCAATATTAATACCAAAATATGCAATCATTAACGAATAATGGACAACAGTATCGGAACTACCGGTATATCCTTTCCGAATAAGTCTGTTTAAAGGTTTGGTTAGAGTTTGAGGTGAATGCCGACATTTTTGTGCTTTGTAAAGAATATTTCCATAAAATATTGGATGTGAAATACCTGAACGTATAAGAAGTCTGCATGTTGATTTATATTTACGAATGATGTCTGCCATATTTGTTTTACGTAAATTGTTTTGTTATAAATCATATAGGCCTTTAGCTTTCTAAATTGAGTTGTTTATTTCTTTTTCATATTGGGGCCTTTTATATGCGACTATATGGTATCGGGTTTTCTCATTGTTGAAGGCCGTACGGTTGCTTATAATTGCTTACATAAACTTCATTTTAACTTTGGCGGCTAGCTGTCTCATGGGCTATCATACTACATCTCCTTATTTTTAAACTTAACGGAACTAACTTACTTACTAAATCCTCAACATAAACAACGGGAAAAAAATATAAAAACAAGATGAACAAAACACTGGGGCTTGATATTTGCAAAAACCTGACTGCACAAATCTGTTTCAGAGGAAACCAATAATTGCTTATAAAAGAAGCGAGAACTTACAATTGTTGACTATAAACCTGAAAATAATAAATATGTGAAAAACAAAAAAAAACACAAAACTTCTTATATTAAGACTGATGAAGCCGAACTCTGATATATGCTTTCGTATATATTACACGACCGAAACACCAGACTTAATATAAGGACTCATTGGTGAACGTTGATGCTTTTATTGACACACAGGGAGCAATCCTTGATATTTTTCTTATTTTCTGATATCAAAAAATCATTTTTTGATATCAGGAGTTGGAATTTTTGATATCAGAAAATGTATTTCTTGATATCAAAATATCATCAGTAATATTTGATATCAGAAAAATCTATTTTTTGATATCAGAAAATGGATTTCTTGATATCAAAAAATGTGATTTTTTGATATAAAAAAAATGTGATTTTTTTATATAAAAAAATCGAATTTCTGATATCAAGAAATAGAGATTATTTTCTGATATCAAGAAATCGAATTCTTGATATCAAAAAAGGCAATTTTTTATATAAAAAAATTGAATTCCTGATATCAAGAAATACTTTTTGATATCAGAAAATAAGGAATAAATAGTCAAACGGCGCTTCAAAGACGGGTAACAGGTGACAGGTAACAGGTATAATACGTTAGTTATAAATCCGAGATTAAGGTATATGAAATTTTTTCTCCGAGACAATATTTTCTTCTAGATTTAAATGACAAGTTGACCGTCCTCATTAATAAAAAAAAGAAGATAATTCACTTATAGGGAGAATCTTTTTTGACGCATTTTTATATTGATTATGCAAATTAAGGAATAACAGCACCAGTACTGTAGTTGAAGAGTTGCCGACGTTAGATGGTGATTTGACTATTTATAATGTTTTGCTATGTGTATTATTTAACAAAAATATTCTGCAATAGCTTAAATTGCTTATTTTTTCAAAAAAAAAAAATAAATTAAAGCGTGACTGGGGCAAAAAAAAAATAAGGAAAAGGGTGGGGTCAATTTCCCAAGCGCCTGTGCCTGGTTGAAACTGGTTTCTAGTGAGTAGAGTAGTACGACCCAAACAAATTGCCAAGTTTTTGTAGAAAGATGATAACCCTTCTCCGACTAAGTTTTTCAAAGACAACTATTGCCATTATATTTCTTGGTCACCTTTCCGCAATCAACATCTAAGATAGTAATATTAAAACCACATTCACGCGGCAATTCGTTTGCATCCAATGTCTACTCAGTGGCGGATCCAGAACTTTTTGTAAGGGGGAGCCCGCTGACTGACCTAAGGGGGGTCCGCTCCAGTCACGCTTCAGTGATTTCCTATATAATCAACCAAATTTTTCCCACAAAAGGGGGGCCCGGGCCCCAGAGACATTAATCTTCAATTTTACATGTTAAAAGACGCGGACCTGGCAGAAGACATCTATTGATTTAAGATTTTTTTTGCTTTAAAATAGTTAAATCATGATTGATATTTACAGTTGTTTTATCATTAAAATCGACAATTTCTTACAACACATCATCGAAAGTAAGTCCTCTCATGAATATCATTGCAGACTCGTGAGTATTAATGAAGGCTGGCCTCATGAATATTAACGCCGGCTGCTATCGCCGGATAGCTTCACACTAGTGCACATGATGTATAGTGGCAAGTAGATGGTATACTTTTCAGATCTGCTATGTTTTGTCTGTCGTAAATGATG